CTGCTTGATGTGGAAAGTCTTCTTGGGGCCTGGGATGGGGGTGAGGGGGGAGGTGTGGGGGCAGGTGTAGCACTTCCTGCGGTTGCAGGGAAAAGTGCCGGGTGTGGTGGGGCTGGAGGGGAGTGTGGAGCGGACAAGGGAGTCACGGAGAGAGTTGTCCCTCCGGAAAGCAGATAAGGATGGGGAGGAAACAATGTCTTTGGTGGTGGGGTCGGATTGCAGATGGCGGAAGTGTTGGAGGATGATGTGTTGGATCCGGAGGTTGGTGGGGTGATACGTGAGGACGAGGGGGATTCTTTTTTGGTTCTTATTGCGTGGACGGGGTGTGAGGGATGAGTTGCGGGAGATGTGGGAGATACGGTTGAGGGCGTTCTCGACCACTGAGGGGGGGCTGTTGAAAAACGAGGACAACTGAGATATACGGGAGTGGAATGCCTCATCCTGGGAGCAGATGCGGCGGAGGCGAAGGAATTGGGAATAGGGGATAGCATTTTTGCAGGAAGGTGGGTGAGAGGAGGAGTATTCTAGGTAGCTGTGGGAGTCGGTGGGCTTGAAATGAATATCGGTTTCTAGGTGGTTGCCCAATATGGAGACAGAGAGGTCCAGGAAGGGGAGAGAGGTGTTAGAGATGGTCCAGGTAAACTTAAGGTTGGGGTGGAAGGTGTTGGTGAAGTGGATGAACTGTTCAAGCTCCTCGTGGGAGCACGAGGCAGCGCCAATACAGTCATCAATGTAACGGAGGAAGAGGTGGGGGATAGGGCTGGTGTAGGTACGGAAGAGGGATTGTTCCACGTAACCTACAAAGAGGCAGGCATAGCTTGGGCCCATGCGGGTACCCATGGCCACCCCCTTTGTCTGTAGGAAGTGGGAGGAATTGAAAGAGAAGTTGTTGAGGGTGAGGACGAGTTCGGCTAAGCGGATGAGGGTATCAATGGAGGGGGACTGGTCGGGCCTGCGGGACAGGAAGAAGTGGAGGGCCTTTAGACCATCTGTATGGGGAATGCTGGTGTAGTGGGACTGGATGTCCATGGTAAAGATGAGGTGTTGGGGACCGGGGAATTGGAAGTTCTGGAGGAGGTGGAGGGCATGGGTGGTGTCACGGACATAGGTAGGGAGTTCCTGGACCAAGGGGGAGAAAATGGAGTCCAGATAGTTGGAGATAAGTTCGGTGGGGCAGGAGCAGGCGGAGACAATGGGTCGACCAGGGCATTCAGGTTTGTGGATTTTGGGAAGGAGATAGAAGCGGGCAGTGCGGGGTTGGGGAACGATGAGGTTGGAGGCCATGGGTGTGGGAGGTCACCTGAGGTGATGAGGTTGTGAATGGTTTGGGAGATGATGGTTTGGTGCTCGGGGGTGGGGTCATGATCAAGGGGGCGGTAGGAGGAGGTGTCGGAGAGTTGGCACAGCAACTCATATTCCGCTTGGGAACCCGGCAGCCCAATGGTATCAATGTGGATTTCACAAACTTCAAAATCTCCCCTCCCCCTACCGCATCCCAAAACCAGTCCAGCTCGTCCCCGCCTCCCTAACCTGTTCTTCATCCCCTCCTCCCACCTCAAGCCGCACCCCCATCTCCTACCTACTAACCTCATCCCTCCCCCTTGACCTGTCCGTCCTCCCTGGACTGACCTATCCCCTCCCTAACTCCCCACCTACACTCACCTTTACTGGCTCCATCCCCGCCTCTTTGACCTGTCTGTTTCCTTTCCACCTATCCTCTCCTCTATCCATCTTCTATCCGCCTCCCACTCTCTCCCTATTTATTTCAGAACCCCCTTCCCCTCCCCCTTTTCTGATGAAGGGTCTAGGCCCGAAATGTCAGCCTTTCTGCTCCTATGATGCTGCTTAGCCTGCTGTGTTCATCCAGCTCTACACCTTGTTGTCTCTTGAAAGGGCTCGATGTTGTGCTTCTCCTGCCAGTCTGTTTCTCAGCGATATTGATACACCTAATGTAGACATCCCTCAACACGATGAATAAACTAGCATGGCCAACACACTTCATTTGCATATCTTTGGACTATAGGAGGAAACCAGAGCAGGTGATGGAAACCCATGCAGACGTGGGGAGACGTACAAACTCTACACAGACACACAGACAGTCACCTGAGGCGAAATTGAAACCAGGTCTTTGGTGCTGTGAGGCGGCAGTGCTAACCACTAAGCCACTGTGCCAACCTCCCAGTCTCCTTCACAGCGATACTGACTCCCTGCACACTCCTCCCAGTCTATTTCACAGCAATGCTGACTCATAGAAACATAGAAGATAGGAGCAGGTGGAGGCCAATTAGCCCCTTGAGCCTGCTGTGCTATTCATCATGGTCATGGCTGATAGTCCAACTCAATAGCCTAATCCTGCTTTCTCCCCATAACCTTTGATCCCATTTGCCCCAAGTGCTATATCTAGTTGCCTCTTGAATACATACAATGTTTTAGCATCAACTACTTCCTGTGGTAATGATTTCCACAGGCTCACCACTCTTTGGGTGAAGGAACGTCTCCTCATCTCCGCCCTAAATGGTCTATCCCGAATCCTCAGACTGTGACCCCTGGTTCTGGACACACCCACCATCGGGAACATCCTCCCTGTATCTACCCTGTCTAGTCCTATTAGAATTTTGTAAGTCTCTGTGAGATCCTCCCCTCATTCGTCTCAACTCACGCGAAAACAATCCCAACCTCGTCAATCTCTCCTCATCCATCAGTCCCACCATCCCCGGAATCAGCCTGGTAAACCTTCGCTGCACTCCCTCAAGAGCAAGAGCTTCCTTCCTCAGAAAAGGGACCAAAACTACATGCAATATTCTATTGACATTGACATTCACGTCCCCATAAACATAAACCTCCTCATAACATACTTTTTTTGACCATTGTCATGTTTCCTAAAATTTTTCCCATTTGTGCCGAGTCTTCTTGCCTCTACAGTCTCTGGGGATTACTTACATAATTGTCACTTATTTTTGCTGACTCAGTACTTATTTGACTGTAACCTGTTCCCTTCGCAGGAATGCTCTCCATACGCTGCTCATTTGTACGATGCAGAGGATCCAACTACCCCGGTCAGGCAGCTGCCAGGTCTTTGTGACGAATATTGTGTTGAATTCTGGAATAAATGCAAGACAACCGTGCGCGCCTTAGTGAAAGAAGGGGAGCTTCTGGAACTTGTATCCAACAGAAAAAAATTCTGTCATGTCTTACAACTGCAAGACCTGGATTATTGCTTCCCTCGTGTCCTATCCAACAACAATCTGACGAGGAATCTTGGGGCAGTCGTAGCTGATTCTGATGGCTGCCTCCAGCTGTGCCTGGAAGAAATAGCAAATGGTCTGCGCAATCCTGTTGCAATGGTGCATGCCAATGACGGGACCCATCGGTTTTTTATCGCTGAACAGATTGGCATAGTGTGGGCGTATCTGCCCAACCGGGCCAGGGTTGAGAAACCATTTTTGAACGTTACTCAGGCAGTCTTAACGTCACCCTGGGAAGGGGACGAGCGAGGATTTCTGGGCCTGGTATTTCACCCAAAATTCAAACACACTGGAAAGGTCTACGTATATTACTCTGTGGAGGTGAATCTCGAAGAGAAGATCAGAATCAGTGAGTTTAGAATTTCTTCCCATGACATGAATATGTTGGACCATAGTTCTGAAAGGTAGGTGCAGATCATACTGTCACCCCTTACGTACACACCAAAACTGAAAAACATTCTTCAACTAATCCAAACCACCCTATCCTCAATCTGCAAGATCCTTCCCTCTTGTTCTGCCCAATAAGAATCTGGCTGAAAATCTTCAGATAATGACAGTTATTCTCTGATTTCTGTTGATTTTGTTCGCTTCACCACTCTGTTCACCCCATCCCTCAACCAAACTCCAAGCTTCTGTCTTTTGATGGCTAACCGTAAGGAATGGTAAGGAGGAGACAAATGTCTGTTTGTGTGTTGTAAGTTCACAACACTGCCCATCGAGGGCATTTGTCACAATATTGGACAGTACGCTGTTCACCTGCCCTTTGGCTGAGTTCATTTAAATGAAGGATCTGAAAAACTGTCAACTGTCTAATAAACAAACCTTTCTTTAGAGCAAAGGTTATGATTATATGAAGTAGGCCATTCAGCCCCTAAGCCTGCTCCACCATTCAGTTACATCATAACCTCAATCTATATTTCTGCAAACACATGATAACCTTTCACCCACAAACAAAAACAGAAATTGTTGGAAAAGCTGAGCAAGTCTAGCAGCCTCTGTGAAGAGAAAGCTGAGTTAATGTTTTGGGTTTGGTGACCCTTCCTCAGAACTTAATAAAAACCAAAAGAACTGCGGATGCTGTAAATCAGGAACAAAAACAAAGTTGCTGGAAAAGCTCAGCAGGTCTGGCAGCATCTGTGAGAGAAATCAGAGCTAACGTTTCAGGTAGAATGACCCGTCCTCAGAACTCTGAGACAGTTCTGAGAAAGGAAACAAAAACAAAGTTGCTGGAAAAGCTCAGCAGGTCTGACAGCATCTGTGAAGGAGAAAACAGAGTTAACATTTCAGGTCCGGTGACCCTTCCTCAGTTCTGTAGATACAATCTTTCTAATGGCCTATATGACCGAAACTTTACCTCCTCACTCTTGTATTTGATACCCCTTGCAATAAACGATGAGGTCAGAAGTTACACAACACGAAGGGGCAGTGCTCTGAAAGCTTGTGATTTCAGATAAGCCTGTTGGACTATAACCTGGTGTCGTGTGACTCCTGGCTTTGTCCACTCCAGCCCAACACCGGTACCTCCACATCATGAATGACAAGATGCTATTAGCTTTCCTAATTACTTGCTGTAATACCAACTAACATTTTGTGATTCATATATGAGGACCCAGATCCCTCTGTGTCTGAGGGCTCTGTATCCTCACCACTTAGATAACATTCTTTTCAGTCTTCCTGCCAAAGTGGGCGATTTCACATTTTCCCACATTTGCTCCATCTTTGTTCACTCACGTAACCTATCGATATCTTTGTGTAACCTCCTCGTGACCTCTTATCAACTTCTTGTGTTGTCAACAAATTTGGCAACTGTCCCTTTATTGTCATTTATGTAAGTTGTGAACAGTTGACATCCCAGCATCAGTTCCTGTGGTACATCATTACATCTTGCCAACATAAAAAATACCAGTTTACACCTCTTCTGTGCTTCCTGTTAGCCAGCCAACCTTCTATTTATGCTAATATGCTACCTCCTACACCACGAGCTTTTATTTTCCACAATAAACTTTGACGTGACACCTTATCAGGAAATTCTGACACCGGCTCTCTTTTATCCACAGTACAGCACGTTTTATGTGCTCAAAGTTTTCCAATAAATGTGTCAAAAATGATTTCCCTTTCACAAAATCATTCTGACTCTGCCTGATTACCTTGAACATATCTAACTGACCTGCTATCACCTCTTTAATCATTGCGTTGAACATTATCCCTATGACAGATGTTAAACCAAGTTTCCTGCTTTCTGTCTTCCTCCCTTTTGGAATAACAGAGTTACATTTGCCATTTCCCATCTATTGGGACTGTCCTTGAATTAAGGAAGTTTTGGAAAATTAAAATCAATACATCAACCATCTCACTCCACCCTTCTATTCACACCCTAAGAAGAAATGCATTCAGACCTGTGAATTGGTCAGCCTGCAGTTTCGACAATTTAGTCAATTCTTTGGTGGTTGTGATTTTCCTGAATTCCTCCCTCCTTTCCGTTTTCTGTTGTATCGCTGCTTCTGGGATTTTACTTGTATCCAAATAATATTCGTGCCACACAAGTGCCAGAAAATAACCATCTCTAACAAGAGTGAATCTAACCATCACTCCATAACATTCACTGGTGTTACCATCACTGAATCCCCCACTATCAATATCCTGAGGATTATCATTGATCAGAAACTCATATAAGTACTGGGGCTACTAAAACAGGTTAGAAATTCAGAATCCTGTGGAGAGTAACTCACCTCCTGACTCCTCAAAGCCAATCCACCATCTACAAGGCACAAGTCAGGAGTGTGATGGAATACTCCCCACTTGCCTGGATGGGTGCAGCCCCAACAACACTCAAGGAGCTTGTCACCATCCAGGACAAAGCAGCCGCTTGATTGGCACCACATCCACAAATATCCACTCCCTCCACCACCCAAGCTCAGAAGCAGCAGTGTGTACCATCTACAAGATGCACTGCAGAAATTCACCAAAGATCCTCAGACAGCACCTTCCAAACCCACGAGCACTTCCATCTAGAAGGACAAGGGCAGCAGATACATGGGAACACCACCCCCTGCAAGTTCCCCTCCAAGCCACTCACCATCTTGACTTGGAAATATATCGCCTTTCCTTCACTAACACTGGGTCAGAATCCTGGAATTCCCTCCCTAAGGGTATTGTGGCTCTATCTATAGCACATGGACTGCAGCAGTTCAAGAAGGCAGCTCACCCCCACCTTCTCAAGGGGCAACTAGGGATGGGCAATAAATGCTGGCCCAGCCAGTCACACCCGTATCTGTGAATTATTTTTTAAATCCTCTAGAGTTAACATTGATGAGGACTCGTTCAATTAATCTGCCATTTCCTCATTCTCTATTATTAATTCTCCAGTCTCACTTTCAATCAGACTGAAGATTACTTCGCTGAGTCTTTTCTTTTTTAAGTGCTTGTAGAACTCCATCGTATCTAATTTTCGGGTGTTGAATTTTAGCAGAATTCAGGTCAGTGTAAGTTTCATGGAGGGTTCCTCTCCATGAAGCCTAGTGAGCTTTCTCACTGTCCGTCACAAACCACCAGCCTAGCAACATATTGCTATGGCACTCAGCTTGGTATCTTACCTCTGGCCAAACGTGGAAGCTGATACCACTGCCAGGATCTCCCAAGAATCCTTCAAAAGCCTTCCAATTGTTGAAAACCTTCACTATTATTCAGGAACAGGAAAAGCAAGAAGAAAAAAGAAAGAACCAAAGCTGTGTTTGCTTCTCAGAACTGGAAGACACTGCTCATTTGTCAAGCAGCAAACAACTTTGCAGTCAATGAGTTTACAGCCAATTGCTCCTTGCTCATGTCTAGTGGAAACCATCGTCAACAAAGTGCTCAACAACCAGAAACATAAATTTCTGGTAAAGCTCAGCAGGTCTGTGGAGAGAAATCAGAGTTAACGTTTTGGGTCCAGTGACCCTTTCTCAGGACTGGAGGACAGAACTGTTTTGTGGAAGGGTTACTCAACACAGTGAACGTTTTCAACAATTGGAAGGCTTTTGAAGGATCTGTTAGTGTAGGTAGATCTCTTAACGTGAAGTATGAATGCTTGTGACACCCTGGACCTGTGGGCAGCCTGCTATATTGTCAAAGCCTACTGCCCTCGCCCCAGGAAAATGAGATGAAGCCGCGTGATCTGTCATAAGTTGCATCAGTAATGTCCTTGATATGGTTTTGAGATGAGGATTTTGAGATCCCACAGAAGTCACCAGTGCACGGTTACATAAAAGTTTAGCTGCAGCAATTACCAATCACGAAGAACTGCGGATGCTGGAAATCAGAAACAAAAATGGGAATTGCTGGAAAAACTCAACAGGTCTGGCAGCATCCATGGAGAGAAAGAAGAGCTGACATTTCAGGTCCAGTGACCCTTTTTGAAAACAGACACTTCTGAACTAGGCCCACTGTACCTGAAATGTTAACTCTGCTTTCTTTCCACAGATGTTGTCAGACCTGCTAAGCTTTTCCAGCAAGTTCAGTTTTTGTTTCTGATTTCCAGCATCTGCAGTTATTTCAGTTTTTAAATGATTGGCAACAAGTGTGAAAGTGGGAGATTACTCAACTTGTTAAGAAGAATAGAAGAGCTGAATATATTCAGAAGGTGTAGAACTTGTAAATGTTGATATTCAGAGGGACTTGGGAATTGCTGTTATTATAAGGCAATTGGAGTGCAAGAGTAAAGAGGTCTTGCTACAATTGTCCAGGGCTTTGGTCAGACCATATCTGCAACACTATGTGCAGTTTGACAATCAGATATAAGGAAGAATGTACTTCCATAAGAGGGACTATATGAGGTTTCACTGGATTGCTCACTAGGGTGAGGAAGCGTCCTAAAATGAATGGCTATATAAGTTGGTGTTACACTTTCTGGAGTTTAGAGGAATGAAGGACAATCTTATTGAAACACAAAAGTTTCCAAAGGGGCTTGTTAGGATAGACACAGAAAGGTTATTGGACAATCTGGAGCATAGGGAATAATCTCAGGATAACAGAACAATCCTTCAGGACTAAGATGAGGAGAGTTTTCCTGTTCCAAAGAGTGAAAATTTCTCCTATGGAAGGTCGTGGAATGCACCATCATTTAGAACTGTGAAAGACAGACTTTTGGTCCCTCAGCACAAAGATTAGCCAATCCTGTACTTAATGGAGGAACAATGTTGTATGGTTTACTCTAGCTCCTATCTCAGGGAGGTGATGGCCTAATGGTATTGTTGCTGGACTGTTAATCCAGCGACCCAGATAAAGTTCTGGGGACTTGGGTTCAAATCCTGCCATGACAGATGGTGGAATTTGAATTCAATAAATATCTGGAATTAAGAATCTACTGATGACCATGAACCGATTGCTGATTGTCGGAAAAATCCATCTGGTTCACTAATGCCCTTTAGGGAAGGAAACTGCCATCCTTACATGGTCTGGCCTACATGACCCCCAGCAATGTGGTTGACTCTTAACTGCCCTCTGGGCAATTAGGGAGGGGCAATAAATGCTGGCCCAGCCAAACACCAAGCACAGTTTGCCCCCTTTCTGCATTCTGGAGGGACCGTTCCCTCAGTAACATTCCTCAATCATCTCCAACATTTGCTCCCCTTGCCAGGGCATCTCTGATACTAGTTAGGTGCCAAATGTGACTTCATAACTCCTCCGCCCTCATCATCTAAGGCTCTAGATATCTCTCCCAGATCAAACAATGACTTAAGATAGTAAGAATGCCGATGCTGGAGTCTGAGATAACACAGTGTGGAGCTGGCGGAATGCAGCAGGCCAGGCAGCATCAAAGGAGCAGGAATGTTGATGTTTCAGGTCGGGACCCTTCTTCAGAAATGGGGAAGGGGAAAGGGGCTTTGAAATAAATAAGTGGGGGGGAGCGGTGGTACCAGAGGGTTGCAGTGGGAGAGAGATTCACTAAGCTCTTTCCAGAGGGAGGAGGATAACTTCTTCAAGGTAGGCATCCTTAGAAGAAGCTTCACAGTGGGGTTATAATTCACTAAGATAGTAAGAACTGATGATGCTGGAGTCTGAAATAACACAGTGTGGAGCTGGAGGAACACAGCAGGTCAGGCAGCATCAGAGGAGCAGGAAAAATCACTTAAGTTTTCTCTGTCACCTAATACAGTATTCAAAACCCAAGGCATGATTCCTATTATAAGATGCTCTCAAACAAATCCAATCAAGGCTTTGCCTTTGTTTTCAAAGAGATGAATTAGTTTCTGCCAACTTTCACCAAACATCCTAATTTTACAGGATCATTTTGGAAGTGGATGAACCAGCGTCGAACCATAACGGAGGACAGCTCCTTTTTGGTGATGATGGCTATCTCTACATTTTCACTGGAGATGGCGGAATGGCAGGGGATCCGTTTGGGAAATATGGAAATGCTCTAAACAAGTAAAGTAATATTTCTTGCATTCAATATACTTTCACTGATATTTTTCTAAAATGATTTCCGTCAAAGGGTTGTTCGATGAAGCATTGAAAGTGAACAGTGGAAGTACTTATAGAATGGGGTGGGAAGAGTTTGTGAGCTTACGAACAAGAGGAGGCCACTTGGCCGTAAGACCATAAGAAATAGGAGCAGGAGTAGGCCATTCGGTCCTTCGAGCCTGCTCCATCATTTAATAGGATCATGCCATAGATGACATTCCTCACATCCAAATTCCTGACCTTTCCCCATAACTCTTAATTCCTTGACTGATCAAGAATCTATTTACCTCAGCCTTAAATATACACAAGGACTCTGTCCCCACGGCTTTGTGTGGCAAGGAGTTTCAAAGATTTACAACCCTCAGAGAGAAGGAATTCCTCCTTAACTCAGCCTTAAATTGGCGCTCCTTTATTCTGAGACTATGACATTTGGTCGGAGACTTCCCCATGAGGGGAAACATCCTCCTCAGCATGTACCTGTCAAGCCCCTTAAGAATCCGATATGCTTCAATGAGATCACCTCTCATTCTTATAAACTTTACAGAGTAGAATCCCAACCTGTTTAACCTTTGTTCATAAGACAATCCCTCCAGACCGGGGCGGGGGGTCATCCTAGTGGACCTTCTCTGACCTCCAATGAAATAATATCTCCTTTTACCAGCACTTTGTACAGTTCCAATAAGACATTCCTGATCAAATATTCCAATCCCCTTGAAATAAATGCCAACATTCCATTAGCCTTCCTGATTCTCTGCTGCCCCTGTGTGCTCGCTATGTTGTGCACACAAGTCCCTTTGTGTTGCAGCTTTGTGCAGGTTTTCTCCATTTAAAAAATATTCCTTTTTTGTTCTTGATGAACAACGAACAAATTCACATTTTCCCACGTTATACTTCATTTGCCAGCATTTTGCCCATTAATTAACCTATCAGTACCTCTCTGTAAACTGTTTGCATGCCTCTCACAACCTGCTTTTCTGACTATTTTAATGTCATCTGCAAATTTATACATTGTAAACAGTTGTGGTCCCAGCACTGACCCCTGTGGAACATCAGTGATCACAGATTGCCAACTCCTAATCTCCACTCGCTGATCCTTGCGCAATAGCCAATACCCTATCCATGCAAACAAACTACCTCCAACACCATGGCTCCTTATCTTATGACTTCACCTTTTGTGAGGTACCTTATCAAACACCTTCTGCAAGTCAAAATACAACACATCTATTGGTTCGCCTGTATCCACTCTGGTTGAGACTTCCTCAAAAAATCTCTAATAAATTAGCTATGCATGATTTCCCTTGCATAACGCCATGCTGACTGATTGGGGGATCCGGTTGGGAAATATGGAAATACTTAAAACAAGTAAAGTATTAGGGAAGGAAATGGCCATCCTTACCTGGTCTGGCCTATATGTGACTCCAGACCCACAACAATGTGGTTGACTTTTAACTGTCCTCTGGGCAATTAGGGGTGGGCAATAAATGATGCCTAGCCAGTGATGCCCTCATCCCGTGAATGAATAAAAAAACAAGATTGTGATATTCCAAATGCTGTACTATTACTACCTCAAGAATCAGGACTGAGTTATCTTAGAGGTCCTCAACATTGACTCCAGACCTCATGAAATCTGATGGTTTCAGGTTAAACATGGGCAAGGAAACCTCCTGCTGGTTACCACATCCCTCAGCTGATGAATCAGTACTCCTCCATGTTGAACAACACTTGGAGGAAGCTCTGAGGGTAGCAGAGATGCAAAATGTATTCCGGGTGGGGGAATTCAAAGTCCACCATCAAGAGTGGTTTGACAGCAGTACTACTGATTCAGCTGGTCAGGTGCTAAATGATATAGCTGCTAGACTGGGGTCTGCAGCAGGTGGTGAAGGAAACAACAAGAGGGAAAAACGTACTTGACCTCATCCTTACCAATCTGCCGGCTGCAGTTGCATCTGGCCATGACAGTATCGGTAAGAGCGACCATCGCACAGTCCTTATGGAGACAGAGTCCCACCTTCACATTGAGAACAACCTCCATTGTGTTGTGTGGCACTATCACTGTGCTAAATGGGACAGACTTCGCACAGATCTAGCGACTCAGGTCTGGGCATCCATGAGGCGCTGTGGGCCATCAACAGCAGCAGAATTGTACTCCAGCACAATCTGTAACCTCATGGCCCGGTATATCCCCCACTCAACCGTTATTATCAATGATGTGGAGGTGCCGGTGTTGGACAGGGGTGGACAAAGTCAGAAGTCACATGACACCAGGTTATAGCCCAGCAGATTTATTTGAAATCACAAACTTTTGGAATGTTTCTGCTTTGTCAGATGAAGTGACTTCTTCTGAAATGTTAGGCTATAACCTGGCATTGTGTGAATACTGACATTACCATCAAGGCAGGGAATCAACCCTGGTTCTTTGGAGAGTGCCAGAGGACATGCCAGGAGCAGCACCAGGCACATGTAAAAAAATAAATGAGGTGTCAACCTGATGAAGCCACCAAACAGGACTACTTGCACACCAAACAGCGAAAGCAGCAAGTGATAGACAGAGCTAAGCGATCCCATGCCAATGGATCAGATCTAAGCTCTGCAGTCCTGCCACATCCAGTTGGGAATGGTGGTGGATGATTGAGCAATTCACTGGAGGAGGAGGCTCCACAAATATCCCCATCCTCAATGACGTACAAGCCTAACACATTAGTCCATAAGATAAAGCTGAAATATTTGCAACAACCCCCCACCAGAGGTGCCGAGTGGAAGATCCATCTTGGCCTCCTCCAGTGGTCCCCAGCATCACAGATGCCAGTCTTCAGCAAATTTGATTCACTCCATGAGATTAAAACATGATTTGAGGCACTGGATAGTGCCATGGGCCCTGATAACATTCCAGCAATAGTACTGAAGACTTGTGCTCCAGCCAAGCTGTTCCAGTACAGTTACAACACTGGCATCTACCCAACAATGTCGAAAATTTCCTGTGTGTGTCCAGTACACAAAAAGTAGGACCAATCTAACCCAGCCAATTACTGCCCCATCAGTCTCCTCTCGATCATCAGTAAAGTGATGGAAGGTGTCAGTAACAGTGCTATCAAACAGCACCTGCTCAGCAATAACCTGCTCAGTGACGCCCAGTTTGGGTTCCACCAGGGCCACTCAGCTCCTGACCTCATTACAGCCTTGGTCCAAACATGGGCAAAAGAGCTGAATTCCAGAGGAGAGGTGAGAGTGACAGCCCTTGATATCAAGGCTGCATTTGACCGAGTGTGGCATCAAGGAGCCCCAGCAAAACTGGTATCAATGATACTGGTATCAAACTGGTATCAAACTGTCCAGTGGTTGGAGTCCTAGGGTCAGAAGTGCCGGTGACTGCACAATGTTCAGTTCCCTCCCTAAGGGCATTATGGGTCTTTCTACAGCACATGGACTGCAGCAGTTCAAGAAGTCAGCTCACCACCACCTTCTCAAGGGGCAACTAGGGACAGGCAATAAATGTTGGCCCAGCCAGTGATGCCAAAGTCCCATGAGTTAATAACTAAAACAAAATTCATTCCAATACTTTTCCAACAATAGATGTTAGGCTAATGAGCCTAGAGTTACCTGTTTTTGTGCCTCTTTCCCTGTTTGAATAGGGGTGTCACATTGGCAGATTTCATTTGAGCCTGCTCAGCCATTCATGGCTGACTTGATTTTAACCTCAACTCTATATTTCTGTATATCCTCAATAATCTTTCGTCCTCCTGGTAAACAAGGATCTATCCAACTTTGCCTTCGAATTATTTAAAGATTCTAGTTTTGAGGAAAGGAATTCCAAAAACTTTCAACCCTCAAAGATAAAAAATGTTTCCTCATCTCTGGTTTAAATGGGCAGGCCCCTATTTTTAAACTCTGGCCCTTGTTTTTAGATTCTTTTACATGAGTAAACATCCTTTTCACACATTCCGATCGCTTAATCTGAACTACTAACATCCTTTCTCCCCCAACACTCCATCCTCCCAAACCACTCCTCAACTATTGCATAAATGCTGTCCCCTCCACACCATGTCAGCTCTGAGGAAGAGTCATCTAGACTCAAAAAGTTAGCTTGCTATCCTTGCATAGATGCTGCCTGACCGGCTGTAATCTCTAGCATCTTTTGTTTTCAGTACAGATTCCAGCTTCTGTAGTAATTTGCTCCTATCCTTTCCACATCCACCTGGTCAAGTACCCTCAGGATCTTATGTCTTTGGGTTGACTGTTCTTTCAGATTTTCTTTTCTTGTCAGACAATGTGGTGATAATTCCGGGATTTTTTTTTCCCATTTCAATTAATTAGGATGAAGGCAGATGCAAATAAATAAGAGGTTCACTATGCCAATCACAATTGAACTGCCCTGTAAATATTTTAAATGCCAAGTGTTGTTGGTCACAATGCGATGTAATTTTCCTGTGTCTTCACACCTCTCCAGGTCAGCTCTACTGGGTAAAGTGCTTCGGATAGATGTCAACAATAATAATCGTGGTCCCCTTTATAAGATTCCACCAGACAATCCCTTCATTCGGGACCCAGATGCACGGCCAGAGGTTTATGCCTATGGTGTGCGGAACATGTGGCGATGTTCTGTAGATCGAGGTGACCCTCAAACAAGAGAAGGAAAAGGAAGAATCTTCTGTGGGGATGTTGGACAGAACAAATTCGAGGAAATTGACATCATTGAGAAAGGGAGGAACTATGGTTGGAAAGCAAGAGAAGGGTTTGCATGCTATGACAAGAAGCTCTGTGCAAATTCCTCCCTGAGTAAGAAACCATTTTTTTTTTATGTTCATCTAAAATAATTGTTTGTAGCATCAACCAGTTCTCTCAACTGTCTTCATCCAAATCTTTGTGCTCCATTTCAACTGTTAGCTCCATGTCCTCCAGTTTTTTCAATTGTTCTATTGCTTAAATCTGTTCTTCCTTGTGACTATTGCTAAATACCTGCTTTCCATTTCCAGCCACTTGGATTTTGATTTCACCATTTGAAAATTCCCTCCATTTTATTCTATCATTGCTCTTTGCTGACAGTTTATTCCAAAACTCTATTATCCCTGGGTGAAAAACGTTTGCCTGATCTTTCTCCTTTCTATAATAAAGGCAAAATATCACAGACGCTGGAAATCTGAAACAAACAGAAGAAATTACTAGAGAAACTCATCAGGTCTAGCAGCATCTCTGGAGAGAAACAATTAATACTTCAATTCTGGTATGACTCTTCTTCACAACCCTTTAGTCCATTATGACTCTTGTGAAGGAGACTCATAAAACTGACTTGAGTTAATTTATTGTTGTCACATGTACCTAAGTACAGTGAGAAGTTTTGTTTTGCATGCAGTACAGGCAGATCATAACATAAAAGGACATACAGATCATAGAGTGCTTAAACAGAGTGAGGCATACAAGGGTATGGCTGCACAGGAGATGCACAAAAGCAAGAACAGCATTAGCAAGATCAACATTAGATTTGAAATTAGAGAGGTCCATTCAGCAGTCTAATAGCAGTAGAGAAGAAGCTGTGCTTGAACCTGTTGGTCTTCAGACCTGTAAGTAGACTTAAGAGAACATTATAAGTAATTTTTACAGACTTAGAATTGAGGTGCAATTGAGGTTGTAAAAAATGTGAGAATAAGATCTGCTATAGAGAGCTCGCAAACAATCCCCTGGTATCGATGTCATCTTGAATCGTACCCCTATTAATTCTGCTTTTCTTTCTCTCTCCACCGATGCTGCTAGATCTGCCAAGTTTCTCTAGCATTCTCTCTGTTTATTTTCTCCTATCCAACTTCTTCACACTGGAACTTGAGAGATTTATCAGACAGAATAATTTGATGCAGTAACTTTGTCAAAATTATTGCACAATAAATTATGAAACCATCATATTTTGTGATCATTTATTAAGGGTCTTGGATTCCTTGGGTAAGAACAAGATATTTTAGAGTCTTTAACAAAGAAATAGGTACCAAGGTGTTGCATGGGAAAATGTTATTTAATTACTTTCTGTATCTAAGACCATAAGAAATCAGAACAGGAGTAGGCCAAACAGCCCCTGAAGCCTTCCTCACTAATCAATTGGATTGTGGCTAATGCAACATTTCTCACATCCACTTTCCTGCCCTTTCCCTGTAACCCTTGATTCCCTGACTATTGATCTCAGCCTTAAATATCCACAAGGACTCTGCCCCCACAGCTGTCTATGGCAAGGAACTGCAAAGATTCACAACCCTCTGAGGGAAGAAATTCTTCCTCATCTCAGTCTTAAATTGGTGCCCCTTTATTCTGAGACTGTGTCCCCTCTGGGACATAGACTCTCCCATGGGGGGAAACATCCTCTCAGTATTTACTCTGTTCGCCTCTTAGAAATCCCGTTTATTTCAACTGCATACTAACTCATGTACTAGAACACCTCGATCTCCCTGCACCTCGGAATTCTGCAGTTCTTCGCCATGGAAGGAATACTCTGGTTTTTAATTCTTCCTGCCAAAGTGAATGATGGCACATTTTCTCTTATTAGACTTTTAGATTATTATTCACTCACTCAAACATTCTATGTCCTTGTATCCACCTTGTATTCTCTTCACAATATCCTCCCCTATCTATTTTCCTGCTATCATTCACTTCACCGAAATCATTAATATCAATTTTTAAAAGTGTGCCCCTGTATACCATGGCAACTGGATCCTGCCCCTCCCAATACAAGGTCCTGTCCAGTCATAGAATCTCTACAGTACGGGAGCAAGCTATGCAGCCCATGAAGTCTGCACCAACCCTCTGAAGAATATCCCACCCAGATCCACTGCCCTACTCTATCATTGTAACCCCACATTTCCCATGCCTAAGCCACTTAACCTACACACAATGGATATTTAGCATGGCTAATCCACCTAACCTGTACATCTCTGGACTGTGAGAGGAAGCCAGACCAAACCCACACAGACACGGGGAGAATGTACAAACTCCACACAGACAGTTGCCCGAAGCTGGAATCGAACCCCGGTCCCTGGTGCTGTGAGGCAGCAGTGCTAACCACTGAGCCACCCTAATGCCCCTGAGTCCTCAGCAGACGTCTTGAAATTTGACAGTAGTGAGACAACACTGTCTTCTGGATTCACACTCTTAACAGCAAAGAACTACATTTACATATCGCCTATTGCCACTACATTGCTTTTTGTGTCCACCACTTAAATGACTTCCTGCATCAGTCTGCAATTTTCTGTTAGTTCAACTACCCTCTGACCTTCTCAGCTGATCAAGAATCTCAAACCCGTTGGATGATTGCAAAGGCTGACACTTGTTTATTTCCTTTTTTAATATATTTCACTAACACTACCATTTTGTTTTAAGCCTTAGGAATAGAAAAGGCCTTTTAGCCAATTACCAATTGGTCACCTATCAGCTAACATCTCTTCTGCAGTAGAGTCAGAATCAATTCCCAATCAGTAGCAGTCTGCCCTTGGATGGAAACAGGTCCTTCACCCCAACTTGTCCCTTGTCCCTGCCGCCCAGTTTTCACAATTAATCTAGTCCCATTTGCCTGCATTTGGTCCATATCCCTCCATACCTATCCCATCCTTGTACCTGTCAAAATGTTTCTTAAATGACAAAATTGTACTCCTTCCACTTGTTCTTCTAATTGATGCTGATTGCCTCTGGGTCTTCTTTTTTCTTGCTGTCATGACATGGTTGAATTTTACATTCAGTTTGAAGGAGAGAAGTGTGCATCCAAGACTAGAATTTTAAACCAAAAGGGGGTGTTTTCATGCATTAAATACAGCTATTTAAAATAAACTAGTAGATTGATAGATCAATAGAGATGTATTGGCAGACATTTAAGTGAATTTTCAGAATGCCCAGAAAAAATACATTCCAATGAGGAAAAAAAATTCCAAAGAAGGATACATCTGTGGTTAATTTTGTTTTTAAGAGTGACAAACATAAAGAAAACAGCATATAATTGCGCCAAGGCAATTCAGAAAATTGGACAGATTGTTAAAAAATAAACAGAAAAGAATGACTAAGGGATTAATATGGAAGGAAAAATTAAAGTACCATAGAAAGATAGTTGGAAATATAAGGTCCTGATGGACTTCAGCCTAGGGTCTTAAAGGAAGTGGCTATGAAGAAAGATGATAGGTTTGTTTTAATTTTCTATGATTCCCTAGATCTGGGTATTGTTTGGAAAATAGATAGGGAGATGAAACAAGATACTATAGGCCTGCTAATTTAACATCTGTCATAAGGAAAATGTTAGAAGCTAATTTTAAAAAGCATGATACTTTAAAAGTTCAAGATAATCAGGCAACGTGGCTCTGTGAAAGGGATGTTTAACATAAAACACCGTGACTATATCCAGGGAATGTAAAAAGGACGTTTTCATATTGTTGGGTTGTTTTCAATAAAAGTATGACTTTCATCCACAGTAACTTCCATCAGCATTTCTCCTCATTGGCTGCTGAGACACTGAACAGTTTCATGGTTGTTCTTTCACAGATGATGTCCTGCCTATATTTGCCTATCCACATAGTGTTGGAAAGTCTGTCACTGGGGGTTATGTCTACAGAGGCTGTGAATCTCCCAACCTTAATGGACTCTACATATTTGGTGACTTTATGAGTGGGTAAGTTATTAACAATTGACTTGTGAGTACCAGTGACATAGTCAGTGATCGATGGAATTTGCAGAGAAGAAATACTTGTCAAGGAAGGTGGGAAATGTTAGGGGACAATCCAAGCCATAGTATACAGGTCTGGTTTTATAGAACTTTTTCTTATGGTGAGAAAAAGCGCTAAGAAAGATGGAGTTTCTGAAGGTCAAGGCATTTGAAAGCTGTGACATTGATGGTGGGGTACCAGGTTGGTCAATGCACAGGGAACACTGGAAATAACTAACAAGTGAGGTTGTTGACTTGCTCGCCGAACTGGCTTGTCCTCGTTCAGATGTTTTGTCACCATGCTAGGTGACATCATCTGTTGGAGTCTCCGATGAAGCGATGTTGTTCTACTCCACTTGAAATTTATACTGTCCGGTCCGTTATGGGGAGCACTGTCATTTCCGGTTTTAATCTGTATGGATTTGTATATGGGATCCAATTTTATATGTTTGTTGATTGAAGAACCATGCCTCTAGGAATTCCCGTGCGTGTCTATGTTTGGCTTGGACTATTATCGTTACTTTGTCCCAGTTAAACTGATGGCCTTCATTGTCTGAATGTACATATATTAAGGAGAGTTTGTTGTGTTGTTTTGCTGCTGGTTGATGTTCAGGGAAAATTCTGGTGGCAATTTTCCTTCCTGTCTGTCCAATAACTAACAAATGCCTCATGGCCAATCCCATCAGTCAAGTGGTAGGCTTTAAACTGCTTTTTTTATCCCCAGACAGTGGTGGGGGTCTGGAATGACCACCCAGGCAGGTAGTTGAGGCAGGAATCCTCACAACCTTTTGAAAAGAAAGAAAGTGGAAGAGCACTTAAAATGTTAGAACGTTCAAGCCTAGGGCCTAGTATTCGATGGGCCAAAGGATCTCTCTATTATGTATGAGTCTAGGATTCTACCACAGCAAGCATTGTCCTTCTAATTTCCACTTGACAGGTGGGAGAATGGGAAACTGCATCTTCACAAGGTTGGATTGGTTAATAATGATGTGTTGATGCCAATACATGGATGCAGATAGGGGTTTTATGATTTAGTAGTGAGATTCTTATCTCACCGTTCAACACTTGGATAGAGAGTTGGATTTTTTGCTCTTGATGTTGATCCTTCCCCGCTGCCAGGCTCAATCTATTGTTCCAATTTTCTCACCAATGCCCACATTGTTCAGGGGCTGAGAATTTTCTCTCCCTATACTGTGATTATGGTCAGATCGGGTGGTACTTGATCCATCTGTGAGACAGCTTCCAATTTTGGAACTGACACTGGGCATTGAGTACAAAGTGTTCCATTTCAGTTCACCATCACCTTCTCAAGGGATGGACAATGAATGGTGGCCCAGCCAGTAACACCCACATCCTGTGAGTGAATAAAAAATATTCACTCACCATGCTCAGTGGTTAGCACTGCTGCCTCACAGCGTCAGGGACCCAGGTTCGATTCCACCCTCGGGTGACTGTCTGTGTGGAGTTTGCACATTCTCCTCATGTCTGTGTGGGTTTCCTCCGGGTGGTCCGGTTTCCTCCCGCAGTCCAAAGATTTACAGGCTAGGTGAATTGGCCATGTTAAATCGCCCGTAGTGTTTAGGGCTGTGTAGATTAGGTGGGTTATAGGGGAATGGGTTTGTGTGGGATGCTCTGAGGGGTGGTGTGGACTTGTTGGGCTGAAGGGCCTGTTTCCATGTTGAAGGGATTCTATGATCCATGATCCTCTATGATAATCCTTCACTTTGTTAAAATCACAGTTTTCGATAGTAATCACCTTCATTTAATCAGCTTTGTTAACCCATTGTTCTTCCCCCTACCCAGGCGTCTAATGGCACTGGCTGAAGATTCGAGAAAAGGGAAGTGGTATGATTATAAGATCTGCATGGGAAGGGGCCAGACATGCCTTTTCCCAGGACTATTGAACAAATATTATCGGTACATTATCTCCTTTGCTGAGGATGAGGCAGGTAAATTTTGCCTATCTAATGTGGACTGTGATTTGCACCAATTATATTTTTAACAGCAGTTTAATGAAATGAATGACTGTATATTTAATTTGGAGTATTCCATCCCACTTTTCTGCCCCCATACCTGTGATAGTTTGCAGATTCTGGGACAGGCACAGTTTGATGGTCTTTACTAACTTCCAATTCCAGCTTTCTCACAAGTCCTGCAGTTAAGTTTGTTCCCCACTAGAGAAAAGTCTAATGACTGTGACCATGGTAATCTATCCCTCATTATCCTGACTTTTGGTCTCTCTGCAGCCTTTTATACCGATGACCACACTGTCCTCCTTTTAACATCTTCCCTCCATTATCTATTTGGTTGAATTCTTCTTGCTGAATCCCAATTTTATCTATCCAGTTTTTGCTAAAAGAATATCATCAATGACCTTTTCTTTCATTTCTGCTCAGTAACTTCTAGGCTCCCCTTCTTCCCCTAGTATCTATCTTTAACTGGTTCTTATCTCTCATCACTCTGTTGCTCCTTAGAATTATCACCCAAAAGTACAACATCAGATTCCCCAATATGTTGACAATTTCCAGTTCCTCCTTGCTCTATCAAACTCTTCACTGCCTGATTTGTGACGCTGCTTTGTCCGATGTCCAGTCCTGGATGAGCAGAAGCTTCCTCCCATTGAATACTGGACGAATGAAACTACTCCTTTTCTTGGTTACTATACTCTTCCATCTCCCTGGTGACTGTCTGAAGTTGCATCTTTGGTATATCTGGTACTGAGATGTATTTCTAGCCTCATATCTATACTAGCAAGAGTGTCCTCTTTTATCTTGACATGCAGGAGCAGTGCTCCGAAAGCTTGTGATTTAAATAAACTTGTTGGACTATAACCTGGTGTCATGTGACTTCTCACTTTTAACTTTACAACATTACTTTCCGTGCCCCTGCCTCAGCTCACCTACTGCTGAACCTCTTCGCCACATCTTTGTTACTTCTAAACTTGACTATTCTATTAAGTGTGACACTTAATGTCATGTAAAGACAAATTATTGCTGTTTATTGGAGATTCATACACTCGTAAGTAAATAATTATTAAAATCAACACTGAGGACATTAAATCTTATTTTAACTTATTCTTTTCCAGATCCTCAAAGTTGTTGATGTCCAAATCCCTCAATCTTATCATCATTCGACAGTCTTCCATGACTAACCCAGATATGTATCAGTTATAGCTCAGTCATTTGCCATTGCCCCTTTATCCAAAGGTTAAGTCTGAGGCTGATACTTCCCTGCAGTATTAAGGGAGCGCTGTCCTCTCAGAGATGCTCATGAAAATGTTAAAGCTGACACATGCTTAAGAAAGAATGGAATTGAATGAGACCAGTCAGCCCCTTGAGACCGTTACACCATTCAAAAAAGCAAGGGTAGGGTTTATACAATTAATGGTAAGGTCTTGGTGGTGCTGTACAGCAGATGAAGGTAGAGGTTCAGGTACATAATTCTTTGAAGTGTGCATCACATATAGGCAAGGTGGTTAGGAAGACATTTAGCACGCTTTCCTTCATTGCTCGGTCTTTTGAGTATAGGAGTTGGGATGTCATGTTGAAATTGTACAGGACATTGGTGAGGCCGCTTCTGGAATACAGTGTCCAGTTCTGGTCGCCCTGTTATAGGAGGGATATTATTAAGCTGGAGAGGGTTCAGAAGAGATTTACCAGGATGTTGCCAGGTATGGAAGGTTTGAGATATAAAGAAAGGCTGGGTAGGCTGGGACTTTTTTCACTGGAACGTAGGAGGTTGAGAGGTGACCTGATAGATGTTTATAAAATCATGAGGGGTATAAATAGAGTTAATGGCAGTTGTCTTTTCCCTAGAATGGAGAATTTCAGGGGTAGGGGGTACATTTTTAAGATGAGAGGAGAGGGATTTGAAAAAGACATGGCGGCAAATTTTTTTACACTGAGGGTGGTTCATGCATGGAATGAACTTCCTGAGGAAGTTGTGGATGTGGGTATAATTACAACATTTAAAAGATATTTGAATAAGTGCATGAATAAGAAAGGCTTGGAGGGATATGGGCCAGGAGCAGGTAGGTGGGGCCATTTTAGTTTGGGATTATGTTTGGCCTGGACTGGTTGGACCGAAAGGACTGTTTTTGTGCTGTACTGTGTAACTCTATGACTCTATGATCTATGCATAAAAGAGAGATATGGACAGCTCACATGAGTAGGTAAAAACTTGGGAGATATTATATGATGTGGGGAAATGTGAGGTTATCTACTTTGGCAGGAAGAATAGAAGAGCTGAAAGACTGCCAAAAGCTATGGAGCTGAGGGATTTGGGGATCTTTGGCCATGAATCAGAAAAAACTCACATCCAAATGGGATGTTGACCTTTATTGCAAAGGGAATGAAGTAAAAAATAGGGAGGTTTTGCTAAAATCATTGAAGGCACTAGTCAGGCCATCGCAGGAATGCTGTGTACAGTCTTGGGCCCTTTATCTAGGCAAAAATATAGTGGCATTGGAGACAGTCGGAAGAAGATTCACTCATCTGCTACCAGGTTGGAGGAACTGTCTTATGAGGAAATGTTGGGTAGGTTGGGCCTGTACTTGTAAAATACAGAAGAATGAGAGATTATCTTTTTGCAAAATACAAGATGTTAGGGCACTTGACAGGGTAGATGTGGAGAGGTTGTTTCCACTTGTGGCAGAATGTGGGACCAGGCGGCGTCATCTGAGGATAAGGGGTCGTATATTTAAGACAGAGATGAGGAGGAATTTCTTCTCTCAGAGGGGAGTGAATCTGTGGAATCCTTTACCACAGAGGGCTGTTGAAGCTGGGTTGTTACGTTTATTCAAGACTGAGCGAGACAGGTTTTCAATCAGTGACAGAATCAAAGGCAGGAAAGTGGAGTTGAGGGATTGACGAATCAGCCACAGGCCCATTAAATGGTGGGGCAGGCTCGATGGACTGAATGGCCTCCTTCTATTCCTACGTCTTATAAATTCCCACGTTTTATCCATTTGGCCTGCTATCCTTACTCAACAAAAACCTCATTACACTCAGTTTGAAAATATTATTTGACACAGCACCCATTGCTTTTTGAGGGAGTAAGTTCAATCTGGGGCAGAATGCGGAAGTGTACTTTCACAACTTATCACTGAATATCCTTGTACCCTTTGCAAGATTACGGAGGGATCACTACTCGTTTGGGATACGCCACCTTTCAAATAAAATGTTAAACTGAGATCTGAACTGTCTGATTGTATTTACCTGAGAAAGAGCAGGGAATTCTCTTGGTGTCCTGAAAGCAATGTGTTTATCTGGCCATCCACTCTGGTTCTCCTAGTGCCTACATTGGCTGTTCCACCAGTAAACAGCTACTCTTTGATAAGTGATATATTTAATATGATACAGCTTGGGCTCTGCTGAAACAGCATAGGAATAAAAGCGAAATTGTAAACCCACGATGGCATTCGCAAGATGAACAGTAATATCTAAATCTGTAGACAATAATGCAGTCAGGATGTATCCACTGCTGTCTCTTCCAAATCATTTATCTCTCCAGGTGAATTATATTTCCTGTCTACACGGATTCCTACGTCCACATCTGCGACTGGAGTGGTTTACAAAATAGTTGATCCTTCGCGGTAAGGCACAGGACCATATGTATATGATAAAAATTGATCCTGGTGGAGTACCTCAATGATTGTGGTGTGTCTTGCATGTAAATGAACCAAACTCATAATCTGCACACTCAGGACATTGTAGTTTAATGTGCTAGCTTTGTAGGTATTTCCAGGAGAATGATATAGCACCGTAGAGTCATATAGCACGGAAACAGTCCCTTCGGTCTAACCGCCCCATGCTGAACATAATCCCAAACTAAATTAGTTCCACCTGCCTGCTCCTGGCCCATATCCCTTCAATCCTTTATGATTCATGTACTTATCCAAATGTCTTTTAAACATTGTAATTGTGTCCACATTCACCACTTCCTCAGGAGATTCATTCCACACGCGTACTACTTTCTCTGTAAAAAAATTGACTCTCATGTCTTTTTTTAATCTCTTTCACCTTAAAAATGTACCCCCTTTTCTTGAAATCCCCCATCCTAGGGAAAAGACACTTACTATTAACTCTATCTATACCCTTCATTATTTTATAAACTTCTATAACGTCATCTCTCAACCCCCTATGCTCCTGTGAAAAAAAGTCCCAGCCTATCCAGCATTTCTTTGTAACTCAAACCTTCCATACCCGGCAACATCCTGGTAAATCTCTCCTGAGCCCTCTCTAGCGTAATAATATCCTTCTTATAACAGAGTGACCAGAACTGGACACAGTACTCCAGAAGGCGCCTCACTAATGTCCTGTACAACCTCAACATGACATCCCAACTTGATATGTTCAAAAACAGAAGTTGTTGGAAAAGCTCAGCAGATCTGGCAGCATCTGTGAACAAAATATTAGAGTTAATGTTTAGGGTTCGGTGACTCTTCCTCAGAACTGTTCTATACAGATGCTGCCAGACCTGCTGAGCTTTTCCAGAAACTTCTGCTTTTGTTCTTGATTTACAGCATCCGCAGTTCTTTCGGTTTTTATTTGACATGTTCAAACACCCCTGATCTTGGTCCGAGAGTTGTGAACTAATCCTCATAAATTTGCTGCAATTTACAGTGTAACAAAGTGGCCCCAGAAAAATGTCCATCAAACTTAATTCACAGCAATTATTTATGCATGTACAACATTTGTGTGAGAGTTACCACTCACACTTTTCTGTTCTCAGACACTGGAGAGGCGAGAATTGCAATTAACCTCGTTTCTCGTAAAGAATGAAATCATCTTAACAGGAAAAACATCTTAGATGTTAATTGAAAAAAATGCATAGAGATATAAAAGCATTAAGAATACGAGACTAACCTTTCGATTATATGTTCCCATTGAATGGTCTGTCATGGCGAGTATACACTGTGCTCTTGCATGAGTGATTTTCCATTGGTTTTAAATCTTTGGGATATGTATGATTTTAGTATGTGCTCCTGCCACATGGGGCTTTGTGTATGGAGCTTTACATATGCATCTTTACATCCTGTGGGTTGCCATTGACCAGAAACTCAACTGGACCAACCATATCGATACTCTGGCCACTACAGCAGGTCAGAGGCTGGCAACACTGCAGTGTCTAACTCACCTCTCAACTCTCCAAAGCCTGTCCACAATTGACAGGGCACAAGTCAGGAGTGTGATGGAATACTCCCCACTTGCCTGGATGGGTGCAGCTCCAACAACACTCAAGAACCTCAACACCATCCAGGACAAAGCAGCCCCCACTTGATTGGCACCACATCCAGCACTTTAAATTTGAACTCCCTCAAAGTTTCAATGCCTGTGTGCAAACATTCACAGTGCAAGCTGCATCCAGTCTTAGGAACACGGAGAGACTCACCAATCTTGCTTCTAAAGCAGCTTCCAAATCCACGATCACTTCCTTCTAGAAGGACAAGGGGAGCAGATACATGGGAACACCACCCCCTCCAAGCCACCCACCATTCTGTTTGGGAAATCACAGTTCCTTCTGTGTTGTCGCTAGGTCAAAATCCTGGAATTCACTCCGTAAGGGAATTGTGAGCGTCCCTTTCCCACAAACAGTTCAGTGGCTCAGGAAAGCAGCTTACTGCCAATCTTTGTAAGAGCAACCAGGGATGCGCAATAAATGCTGGGCCTCATCCCCTGAATGAATGTTTATTTTTAAATTTTGGCTGTGTCTTCTTACCTGGAACATCTACACGTGTATGTGCAGCAGGAGTCATGGGGAAACAGTAGGGTGTGGAATCTCCTTATTGTGGCATTAGTTTAACTCACTGACTGGAGTGACCTGTAGTGTGCTGCATCTTGTGAGGAAGGGGCCCTTGCATCCTCCATCAGGCAATTCTGAGGACACTTCATGGTCTTCTGGAATTGGGACCTTTGGCTCAGGGCCCCCACCTGATAAAGGCTGCCAGCCTCTCAGACCAAGGAGCCTCCAGTTCTTGGCTCAGAGGCTGCAGCTGCCATTGGGAGAGCCAGGCTGGAGCTAAAATATCCGTTAGCAAGGTTTCCAGGAATGGTGGTTGTGGTGAGATGGGTGCCACATGGATCAGAAACAGGGAAGGAGGGTATCTCTCAGAAGGTGATCTTCTTTCCTATGTTAGTGCTTCCCGCCAACTGCTGACTGAGGGTGCTATGAACTGCACCCACGGCTGGTATAATGACAGCGGTGGTGAACTGAGGCCCTTAAGTGGTCCTTAATTGGCCAATTAACCACCTCAGTTGGTGGTGGGAAGGTCAAGCATTGACCTGCCCACCCAGACCTTAACTCCATTTGGGGATGGGAAGGTAGCAGAGATTGGCTAGAGTACCACCCCACCTCATTGAATGTCTCTCCCACCTCCTACCTCACAATCTCTGACACTGGGACGCTTTACCCACAGAGTAGAACCCTGGCTGGTTTTCTTTTTAATCCAAAAACCAGAATTTACTATCTTCCCAATTCGCATCAGCTGACATATAAGAGCACAAATCTTGATTTGAATTGATTTGATTCAGTTTATTATTATCACATATACCTAAGTACAGTGAAAAGTTTTGTTTTGTGTGCAGTACAGGCAGATCATAAGATATAAAGTGCATCAGGGTATAGAACAGAGCGAGGAATACAATGTTACGGCCACAGAGAAGGTGCACAGAGAGCAAGATTGACATTGAATTTGAAATTTGAAAGTTCAGAAGTCTAATAATAGCGGGAAAGAAGCTGTTCTTGAACCTGTTGGTATGTTTATTTAAGCTTTTGTATCCTCTGCCTGACAGAAGAGGTTGGAAGAGATTATAACCAGGCTGGGAGCGGTCTTTGATGATGTGGTTGCCTTTCTGAGGCAGCGAGAAGTGTAATGGAGTCAATGGATGGAAAGTTGACTTTATCCTTTGGCTTGTTTGCTCGTTCTTTCAGAGTAAATCTCCATGTCTTGTGTAAATGAAGGGTAATCTCAATTTTGATATGACATCATGTTGAAAACAATGGTGCATATTTGTGTCAAGTAGTTAATGTGATTCAAAAACATACGAAAACAGAAATTGCTGGAGAAACTGAGCGGTCTAGCTGCATCTGTGGAGAGGGAAAAAACAGAGTTAATGTTTTGAGTCCAGTGACCTTTTGTCAGAATAGAAGCAGCTAAGAGATGGGTGCACTGGGATATGTGGTTTGGGGAGAAGGAGTGAACAGATAGATGGAGACAGAGCCTAGAGAGACAGAGACAGGGAAAGGGGTAGGCAGGCAAAAGGAATGATGATAATAAGCTAGAGAAGAAGAGAAGCTAGTTAGATGATAATGGGTCCTATAAGTAGTTGAAAATGCTAAAGTTGGCTATGCTGAAAGCAAGCCATTTCATGGCAGAGCCTAGGATGCGGGTTTGGGTAAAAGACATGGAAGGCAGTGCGCAGGCTCTAAACTTTTTAAGCTTGATATTGAGTCCTGAAGACTACAGGTTTCTCAAGCAGAAAATGAGGTGCTGTCCTTCCAGCTTGCGCTGAGCTTGACTGGAACACTGCAGCAAGTACAAGACAGAGATGTTGGCCAGGGAACAGGGTGGTGCATTGAAAGTGGTAGGCAATGTGATTGTTGTTTAACAAAGGTATTTTGTTCAAAGTTTGAGGCCTGCAACAGATCTTTACAAGTGAAAGGTAACTTCAGGTGTTGAAGTTTGAAACCATTAAATCATCATTCACATTCTGTCTCCTCCTGCAAACAGGAGGGCACCACCAGGAGCATGTCAATACAACCCTTTACCGGTTAGAGTGAAAAGCCGTCTCATCAATTTTGTACCTAAACCAAGTAAGTGTGCTATTCTTGGCAAATTTCCTTTTGTCTGACGTACTGCATGGCTTATCAATTACATATTGCAAAAAAAACTCACGTCTTGTCACTCATCAAGATAATTCACAAGAATACCAAAACAAACAGAAAAAACTGTTTTTTGACTTGTAATCATTTATTGTCTCGTGTATTCAATATAAAAATACAGTGAAAAGTGTTTACCTTCGCAGTACATGCAATGCACCTTTCTACATTAAATTAGAATAAGATTAGAAAAGATAACTTAAGAGAGTCCAATTTGCCTTTCCGCTGCTGCAGTCCTGCTCCGGGCTATACCAGCCCTCAACATCCCTCCACCAGAGCCCCCGCTCCAAGGTAACCAGCCCTCACCATCCCTCCACCAGAGCCCCCGTTCCAGACTATACCAGCCCTCACCATGCCTCCACCAGAGTCTCTGCTCCGGGCTATACCAGCCCTCACCATGCCTCCACCAGAGTCCCTGCTCTGGGCTACACCAGCCCTCACCATGCCTCCA